AAAAAATTTTTGGCTGCACCACACAGCATGTGGGATCTCAGCTCCGTGACCAGGGATCGAACTCGAGTCCCCTGCAGTGGAAGCATGGAGTCTGAACCACTGAATCGCCAGGAAGTCCCAGACTTATTTCTTCTAATCCTCTCAAGTCATGAACAAAGCTTCCCACTGTTCCCTCACACATCTGGATTTTCCCTTGTTCCTGCTATTCCATCTACTCTGATGCCCTCTAATAACTCAACATCCAAACCCTCCCCCCAGTCAAGGCCCGGCTCAAATGGCATCACCTCCAGGAAGTCTTCTGGGCTCCTCGTAAGTGGAAATTACATCCTCCTCTTCTGTACCTTCACTCCCCATACATAAACACACAGCCGCAGTTCACAGCTCTTTATTTCTCTCTCACATTGCTTTTTTTCTTAAATTGGACTGACTTGTGCTCATTTCTCCTTCTTGACCTTGAACAAGCAGGTAGAAGGGATGGTGTTGGTTCCTCAGAGCATCCTGCCCCTCTCCCACCAAACACTCAGTTACTGGAACACAGTAGATGCTCAGTAAGCGTCTACAGAATGAGGGAGTGAGCAATGGAATGGGGAAGAACAAGGGAATGTGTGAGTGAATGGAAGTAAATCCATGTGTAAATGAATGATCAAATGAGTGAATGAAAGAATGTCATGCTCTCCTGTTCTCCAAGCTAAGACTCTCAGTTCCTTCTGGGGGCCCCTTGGGCTTGGCATGGCAGAATAAAGGAAGCTGTGGGATAAATGGGGAGGGGGCAGAAGGGAGGAACAAAGGAAGTAGGTAGTGATACCAGCAAGAGAGGAAGTAGAGATGACTTCATCGTTGCTTCAAGGCCAGGCCCCCCCTTAGAACCACAGCCATTTATGGAGAAGCTGGGCAAGGAGAGCAGTGAGAAGCCCAGTGAATGGTCCAGAGGGGAGAAGATACAGCATGGTGGGGATGGAGAGGAGGGAATGCCTACAGGGCGTGGAGGCCAGATTCAGGATGTGTAAGCGGAGTACTGGACTTGCCCAGCCAGCCCTGAACTCTCTCCTGCCTAGCGGCTCGAGTGTGCTCTCCCTCTCTCTCTCTCACCACCTCCTCCTGCAGGAGCTGAACCCCCTCCTTGGCCCAGCTGCTGCGGGTCTGAAACCAGTCCGACTTCCAGGATTGGACCCTTGCCAGGGAGTGGCTCACCCACGGGCTGGTGCTCCCCCCACCCCACGGCTGGCCTGAGTGAGTCAGCATTGGCTGCACCCTCTGGACTGTGAGTCTTGTGGCCCTAGGCACTGTCAAGGGCCAGCCTCCCCATCCTCGTGAGAGGCCTGCCCATCCCAGCTCAAATCCCAGGATGCCTCATGCCCCAGCCTGCCCACGCAAGAGCGCTGCCAGGCACCACCTGGCTTATCCGGATCCTGCCCCTGGGGCAGAGGCGGATCTGCCTGGAGAGGGCGCTGGAGTCGAGGAAGAGCCAGCAGCAGGAGGATCTCAAGGAATTGGGCCCTTCCGAGATGGGGAGGTGGTGGTGGGGGCCTGCGGGCGGCACGGGTCTTACCCAAGTGGTGGGGCGCTCAGGACCTAACAGCTCGCAGAGCCGCGGCCGGGGAGCCTGCTGGGGACGTCGGAGAAGCAGGTCCGTGGGGCGAGGCTCAGCGACTGTGCATCCGAGGTCCTAGAGCAGACCCTGATGGGGGAGGCTGCGGGAAGCTGGAGGGAGGCGCAGGAAGCGGGCAGAGGCCCAGGCAGGAGCGGCCCAAGCCAGTTCCCAGACGAGTCTGGTCCCCTCTCCTCCCCTCGCCAGTGCGGGTGAGGCGGCCCCGGGCTGCTGAGCAGAGCGCCAGGGCTGCAGGACGGGCGCCAGACACTCCGCGCCGCGAGGCGGCAGAGGCGGAAACGCCGGTGGCCTGACCTGACAGGCTAGAGGTGGAGCCAGGCAGGCGGCGGGGTGCAAAACCCGTCTCCCTGTCATTGCTAAACCAGCCCCTCACAGTTTTGAAAAGTAACACCTGCTAGTCGTTCACACCTTACTGAGCACCTGCTGTGTGCCAAACACAGAGCTGGGTGCTGGGATGAGGTTTTGAGCAGGACACACTGGCCCTGGCCTATGGACAGTGGTAGAAAAAAATGAGAATGGGCAGTTCAGAAGAGAGCAAGGAAAATGAATACCACTGATGATCTCTTCACTCAGAGAGAATCACTGTTAGTATCTTCCGGGTATGTGCTTCCAGCTACACTAGAGCTGAAAGAGGAAAATATGCTGACAGGGAGAGATGGGGACTCCCCTCCCCCTCCCCCATGTGTAAGTACATATGTTATGTTATATAATATGATGTGATATATGATGTGATCACAGGCATGAAGGAGCCGCCTAGAAGAATCTCCGTCAGTAATCACATTTGGGATACAGGCTCATTGGCAGACTTGGAAGAAACCTGACAGAGGATGCTGGTGGTCCCTGAAAGACAACTGTCACAGGAAGAGGAACTTGGTCCACACCAGGACCAGAAAGTGGGAGGGATCAGTCATTCCAGACACCTCACAGGGGCTGGTGGTTGAACTCACCCTGCCCCAGACTCTCTCAACAAAGAGAGTTACCATGCTGAGCTCACCACACCTGGGGCCCAAGCAGACCTCTGGTGGGGACCCCTGGCTGGGTAACAAGATGAGGGACTTCCCTCATCATTCTGCTCTTGGAGCACCCTAAGGTGTGAGTGTCAGGACAGGAATGGTGGGCACCCCATGCATGGGGCTTTGGCAGCAGCCTGGGCAATAACACAGGCCAACCTCTGGCTCTGCTAGCGGCATTGATGCAGGAGCCTCAACTCAGCAGGGGCCCCAGGTGCCAACAACAGCAAATGACTTCGAGACTGCTTTCCAAGTGCAGTGAGACACATTAGGGAACACCCAGAAACATATGGGACAGGTGGACTTTGCAGGGAAAGGGAATTCCCACAC